AGAAACAGTTACCACTAGACCACGCACACAACCAAAACTAGAACTACACAGCAACTACAACTACACTACACGACAACTACAACCGAGAATCGAGACGAGACCTGCTGCAGCCTCAAAACGATCATTTCATGCGAGGTTTCCTCAAATTTTCACACCTTGTAGCTTCAAAATCGACGGTTTCTTTCGAGTTTTGTCATGAACCTCACAATTTGCTACCTCAAAATCGATGTTACGCGCGCGGTTTCCGTCAATTTTCATCACATCTCACGAAATGCCACGTCTGCCCCGAAATTTTCACCTTGACATCACCTGACGCAGCCCTAACCATGCGATCTGCAAAAAAAAAACGCACAATACAACACCTCTGAAGTGCTGCGCCTGCCACGCGAAATGACGATGGAGGTCTCCAAAGTGATGCACCTGCCACGAAGAATGCAACTCATCTTGGGAAAACGACGCAAAAATGTTGCGCCTGCCACACAAAACGACTTTGGACACATTATGAAACATGTTGGAATGTCACGAAGTCCCACGCCTGCCTACGCGACGTTTGAAGCCTCCAAAATTGACCACTTTTGCAGAACTCGCCATTGGCACGGCCATTTTGCCCTCACGACGGTCGCTCGCGGACACTTGCGGACGGTGGCGGACGGTTGCGCACGTCTCCACCCAGACCTCCAAAGTAAAATGAGAACCCTTCGCTACTCATTCGGGAAAAACATTGATTGAAATATAGTAGGTGACCAGACAAACAAACAGACAGACACATAGATCGATTGATTGATAAATAAATAAATAGATAGGTGGAAAGACAGATAGATGGATAAAGAAATTGATAGATAGAGAAATAGATTGATACATAGATAGATAAACAGACAGACAGACAGACAGACAGACAAATAGATAGATAAATAGATAGACAGATAGATAGATAGATAGAGAGGGAGGGGGAGAGATAGAGAGAGAGAGAGAGAAAGAGACAAATAGATTCGTAGATAAATAGATAAATAGATAAATAAACAATAATTAATTAGGTAGATAAATAGATGGATATTCACTAAATATAAATAGGTAGACAAGTGAACAAATAGCCAGGTCGATAGCGGGAAACCATATTTCACCATGGTTGCGGGAAACCCGGGTATGGGAAGCGAATCCAACCATTGCCAGGGGAACACCACAGGTATACATTTCTTTTATCCACACACAGACAGTGTATATATACAATATGTAATATCGACCAATGCCCTTTTCTATCCGACCAAACCGACTAGTCAGCAACAGGCGTGTCTCCGCTTTACTGATCCCCACAGAATCATCATCTGCAGCATTATGATCACAACTTATCATCATCATCATCATCATCATCATCCTAATCGTCACCGTCACCCTCACCGTCACCACTACCACGACCATCATATCCATCAAGAAGCCTTAAAAAAAAAACGTTTCAAGAAGGTTAGAAAATGTCTGTCCTTGGAACCCCATATGCGCCCGCAAACCGATGCAAATGGATTGAAATTATCCAGAAATCATTGCATTACATTCCGAAGCAACCACCCTAATCTTCGGGTTCCGAGGCGACCCCTTCGACTTCTTGGCCAATCGCCCTAATGTGAAAAAAAAAACAGATCTCTTGCAGTTGCTGGAAAGTCTCCTTAACATTGCTACACAATGCTTGGCGTGCTTACCCCTGACCATTTTAAGGTTTCATTGGGCCCACATTTGGATCATACCGCGAATCAAACAATTCGGAATTTGGCAGTGCCTGGCGTTCCATTTGTTTATGTAGGATGAGTTGATGCGGGCGCTTAGGAATGTGCGAATGGGAGCTGGATGTGGAGGTGACGTCGGTGGACATATTTTGGAGATGTTCACGCATGGAGCAAAAGAGTTGCATAGCGATGCATAGCGTTCTTCCATTTGTTGCAAGAAGGGAAAGCCGACGTACTGCAGTGAAAAAATGAAGACCGATTGCCGATTGCTACAAGTATGCAAAAAGAAACTTAATGAAGCTTACGTCTTCTCTACACTGATCAACGGGCGGCTGAACGTTTTCGAATTTATATTGGGGGAAAGAGAGTTATTGGACTCGCAATCTCTTTTTGATGCAACCACACCTGATGAAACTTGATCGCGCTCAAAGGCGCACGTTTCGATCTGTACCCGGTCACATGAAACACCATTGAGGATTGATGCAACACCTTTGCAACTTTGATTACAGCAACTTGCCAGAAAACTGTATGATTTTCAGCGTTGGTTTCCTACGGCATTTCCCATTGGTATCTTTTCGCAATGCTTTTCGGATTTGTTCTCTTGTATTTTTTTGTTTTCTACAGCGCCGTTTCTCCAATAAATCGTTGCACTGTTTCCCTTCCTAAACCTTTGGATGTCTTTGATCCGTGGCCTCGTTCGTCACAACCTTTGCCCGGAAGCATTGCATTTCTTTGGGGCTTTGTTTGCTGCCAATTTTTTGCGCAAAGTTTTGGCACTTGTCCGGACTAGTTGGTTTCCATCGCCTTGTGTGCTGTCGGTGCTTTGTTTTGCTAAATTGGGGTTTGCATGTCGCTGCTCGATGGTCCGAACCAAGGTTCAGTGCGATGGCCACATCCAAATCGAACATGTGCAAAAGCACACATTCCATGGACATTTGTCATGAGTCCCAACGAACCTTGCAAGAGCACGACGTGTTGTGGCGCAAATGTCAGGACCTTTGCATCGGAACTTAAGGCATGCAGAGTTTATGGTTGAACGCGCATACCTGCTGGGAAGCGAATCTGGGCACAACACCTTGGTGGATCTTGCAGGTATGTTGGCGTTTGGCTGCACGTCCACTTACCATCCGCCCATGCCACCCATCCCCGTGTTCAAGAAGCAAGGCTTAGGTTCTACCCAGAATAAGTTTATGACGCTTTGAATTCGCCAACGGATAGTGTCGCCGGCGTGAGACGTTTCGCCGATTCGCCGTCGCAACGTGCAACAATCTCAGAGTATAAGGAAAGCGGCGCCTGCTATGGCAACATCCTTCATCGAAGCAAAAATTGTATCAGGTTGGTCTTTCGACTCTTTCCGCATGCCGATTTGGGCAGCACACTCCGGTTGCACAATCTTGCTTTGTTGATTTTGCTGTTTCTTCATTGCACTCCCATATATTTCCGTGCTGAGATTCTTTCGCTCTGCTTTATCGGCAGGAGCTATCAGTTGCGCCAGTGAAACGAAACGTGAAACGGTGAGAGTCTTGCCAGGCCATGTACAGACCACACTAAGCCATTTTCTGAAAGATATGCTTCTGCCGTTGTTCTCAATCACATTAAACATCATTAAATCATCCGTCAACAATCTGAAATGTCCAGAAATGACCTGGTCATGAAGTCATTCAACTTCAAATTGGCGCGTCCAATTCGCCAGCTTCAGACAGCTTGCACAGGGATGGAATATGGTTTCAGCACCCCAGGAACTGCCACACTTTTGGAGGGCAGCATTCACTCTTCCGAGACTTCCTGCCAAGAAGCTACAATCAATCAACGTCAATGCAGCAAAGGTGGACCAATAGATCCAAGTTGACTTCTTGCAAACATCTCTCGCCGAAAGCTTGCAGCTGGTAGCCTTCGCTTCTGGCTCTGGCACTGCTTCCTGACAATTTCAGACAATCAGAATGGGCTGGTGCTGGGCTGGGGTGCGTAAGTCGTGAGACAAGGCCTGTAAAGGCAAGTAATTCTTCCTCTATCAAGGAATGCAACAACATAAACTTTCTGACAAGCGAGTTCTGCTTTGGTGGATTGGTGGATTATGTGACTATCTTCCTTCAATTCCTTCAAGATCCTTCAAACCTAGCTGCGGCACCTGGGGCACCTGCGGCGGCTCAGCTGGCAGCCTCTGAAGGCTTGGAGCTGATGCAGACCTCACATCCAGTTCAAACATGTTCAAACTAGTTCATATTTCTTCATATTTCTCAGTTATTTCATATTTCTTACTTCATATTTCCACCATTGGCCCATCTCACGGAAGACACAAGCCCTCCTTGACTCTACCGACTCGACCAACTCAACCGACCCAACCGAGATTGCCCATCAGGCATCATGCGGCATCATGAGTCAACGGTCAGGTGAGTCAGGTGCGTCACTGTTGAAACATGTTGAAACATGTTGAAACATGTTGAAACACCAGAAGTCTGAAACTCTGGAGCTCCCACTGGTGCAATCCCGGCAGCTTCAACTTCGATGTGACCTTCTTGAACCTCGGAAGCCAACTGTGAACTTTCAGTCGACCGGTCAAATCAGCACCCAAGGCGAAGACTTGGTCAGCTTGAAGGGCTCTTTGGGTGCCTGAACTGCAATCAAGCCCGGCAATACCCAGAGAGCATTGACTGCACAAAGGACTGTGGGGACTGTGATTGTGATGCCAATATATAGGTGTTTGCCAAAATCAGGTACTGTACCTCAATAGCCATTGGCTTCCCTAGCCATTAAAAAAAAAAACGTAAAAAGTAATGTCGTTCTTCTGACTTTGGGTTCCAAGAAACTACTATTTGCTGCTGAGTTTGAGGCTGACGGATTCCTCCATTCCTTCATTCTGATGCGCGCATCATGGATTCGATCTTTGGACATCTGGCAGGGGAAAGCAGGCTATCGCGAATTCAGCTGGAGTAAAAAGGTCGAAGAGGCTATCCAATGAGTGCTAGGAATTGCCGCCATGATCATGTCCAGAAAATTGATAAGCCGAGTCAGATTGTGCCTTTCACAACTTTCAAAGCGGTTGCCTTGGTGAGCTTGACAATGCGTTTCTCGTGCTTGGCCTGATACTCCTGGACCGTCTTCAATGGCTAGCCAACATCCAGTTGGGCTCAGCGTGACCCTATCACTTCGTATCAACGCTTCACCGAAACCTGTCTTCTTTTCTAGCACCACAGAAAAGTATCTGAACACAAATCTCACCCTCATCATATATGCACGAGCCTCCAGCTCACGATAGTGTACTGCTAAAGCCTCCCATCCAGAGACTTACAAGGCATGATGTTTTAACAGCTGTGGCTGTAACATCATCAAGGAACGTATTCTCTTTCCAGGGAGTAAACAAAGCACCTCTTTCGATGAAAATTTATATGTGACGCGGATGCAAGACATGAATTGATCCTTGCAACATCGTGCCTCCTCGGACTCTGTGGCATACTGATTTCCGATCTTGGTACAGGTTTTGTGGATTTTGGGGCAGGTGTGATGGCCCTTGGCAGGGCTCCATTCGACTGCTGGTACTGATGACTCGCCAAGTTGCCACATGAGTGATGGGAGTCGAAGGCCGAGACTTGCTGCCGTAGGCAAACCTGGCACTTTGTTGCTACGTTTGCAGCCAACAGTAGTATCAGTATCAGTAGTAACATGTAGTAACATGTACTAACATGTAGTAACATGCAGTCATCAGCCACAGGTGGCATGCGTCGGCAAACCAAAACAAATAGAATACGCTCAAAAGCTGGAGAATGGGCAAATGACCTTAATGGCCTTAATGGCCTTGCACCAATTTAACTGCACAAGTCGTCGCTACAGCAAGCAGGTCAGGCACACGATGGGATCACATCCGAGGGGATGACTTTGGGCAGAACACCCATGGGACCCGGAGGCACCAGTTTGATGTCGGTGTGCTTTCTAAACTCTGCCAGGTCTCTGGCATTCCTCGAAGCAACTGGTTCTAGATGGTTCTAGATGGTTCTAGCCAAACTATCACAAGAATTGACGCACGTAGAAAAGGATGATGTGATCATGCAAATGTCCTGACCCCACATTTCGCGGCCGTGCGGTTCAGCTTCCTGAAGTCCTGGAATCTAAGCAAAGAACTGTCTCAAAGTCATGCTCCATGTTCTAATTTGAAGTGCTGTTGAACACGGACATGACACCATAAATTCCTCGTCGCCATGCTGGGTGGGGGCTAAAATCGCTAAAACAAAGGATTTTGTCCTGGCAATCTGGCCCTGGCTTTGGTCGTGGCACATGCGAAGCCCAGAACATCGTCACCTGAACAGGTACAATGATCTTCCAGCATCAGCCAGATTGGCAAACAAACAATGGGGCTGCATGGACCGCAGCAGAATGCGACAGATCCACGGCTCGGTAACTGGCTTTCTGTTTCAACTGCACCTCCCTAGCACCCTCAGCATCAGCAGGCTCGCTGCGGCCATATGTGAAGCCCTGCCAAGCAAGCATTCAACATCCAGCCCTCACGCATTGGAGCAAGACCGAGGTCAAGTTGTCCTACTGTGGCGGTTGCAGAGTTCATGCCGCGGAGAAAGCCGCTTTTTTCCCTTCCTGCCCGGATTGAAAGTTCGGCAAAGTCTTCACTTGCCTCAGGGCAGCGAGTCGAGTCAAACTGTCATCCTGGAAAAGTGACTTAAACCATTGAACCACCATTATTATTAAAACCCATTGAACCGCCATTCTGTGATTGGGTTATGGTTTTAACAAGTTCGCAAAGATGATTCCAGTTTCAATCCTCCTGTCTGATTCACCTTGAATGGCTGGACTGTTGTGGTGCACTTGGTGTACCAGCCTTTCCGACGAGGAGTAGATGAACGAGGTTGCCGCTTTCCAAGCTCATCCGAGACCTTCAAGATGAGAATCAATCTCAGCAGTAGATGGAAGACATAGCAACAAATGATCGAGTCGTGATGACTCTAATTGAGACATACAGAAATGATGAAAGGCAACGCGGCAACTGTTTTATCGCCTTCACTTCCGGGTTTTCGCTTTCCACCACAGACGGAGGCATCTTGCATCCAGATTCCTGCATGAATTAAGGTTGAACATGGTTGAACAGAATCATTGCATCGCAGTTGCCCGAGGTCCAGCCTCCTTGAGATATGTTGAGAAAGCAAACAAGAATAGCAAAGCACCTGACTCTGTGTCGAATCATTGAAAATTCAAGCCCTGTCACATGACTGCTTCAACATCAGAGGATGCAGGCACCTGTTCCACACAGGACCAGCAAGCCAGAAAGCCAATTCTGATAGTCAGCGTGCGGCTGTCCGCAGATAGTGTACCAGGAGGCCACTCCATCTGCAAGCAAGCACAGGTTCTCACTGAAGAATGAACAAATGAATGCAAGTAAACACAAACAACAACCAACAACCAACCACAACAACAACAATAACAATAAAACAAAGGAGAAGAAGGAGAAGGAGAAGAAAGAGGGAGAAGGAGAAGTAGAAGAAGGAGAAGTAGAAGAAGGAGAAGTAGAAGAAGGAAAAGAATGGGAGGAACCAGAAGAACGACAATGAGAAGAACAAGAAGAATGAGAAGAGTTCAGATTAACTAAATGCATGATAATTACAACGAAAAGAACGAGAAGGATGGACGAAGAACAAGAGCAAGCACAAGCACAGGCACAACCACACAAACCACGACAACGATAAGAAGAAGTCATGAAGGGAGGTGTAAGTTTCGCAGTTTCGGGAAACTGGAGGGAAGAATGGAAACTGGAAACCACAGTCCCTCCTTCCTGCCTGTCAAGGCTGCCTCTGGGGTGATCTGTTCCATTCCCGCCTGAATGATGACCATGATGACCATGCTATCAAAGAGAATCAGACTGTCTTGGAAGGTCTTGGATCCGCTTCAAGATGGTCCCCCAGTGTTCCCCATATGTTCCCCATATGTTGTCGGTTGTGTTGCATTAATTCATCATACCCAGTGTGTATAAACGTCATCGTCACGTTTAGGTCTAGGTAATATCAAGGCAACGAAGGGCTCAGCAATGCCTCGGGCATTCGGCATTCAAAATGGAAGTAGGTCGTAGGGAAACGCTCGCGGCAAATGTAACGCCTGAACTGTGCAGAGTCAACTCTGAATGCAGCGAAACCTGAGACAAGTCCACTCAGTCAACCGAGTCAACGTCAACAGAGGCAAAGTCACTTGCGCTCATAACCCATCAGGTCGATGTCGGTAGCATCACACGAGCCAAATTGCTGATGAACGCCAGTGGACACCTTGCGTGTGGAATTTCAATTTGGAAAGACTTGAGACTTGAGAGACTTCCAACCACAGCTCAGCTGTCCTGCTTCTCTGGAGAGAAGAGTAAGCCCACCAGGACCAGCGTTGCAAAATATGTGCAAAGCATTGCACGGACCGACCAATGCCTCAAACTACAAAAATAATGAAAATGTTTTTCTTTAATCTGAGTGTCCATTCAAATCTGCTTCAGATTCCGCAAGAAATTGTTGCGACTTCAAATTGCTTGAGAGGTGCTCTGGGCCATTGAGAAGTTGCGCCTTCTTTTGAGGCCAAGCCTGGCTGATTGCAGACCATGATTGGTCCAGGCAAAGATTTCACCAAGAGAAGATAGTCGCATAGTCCAATGGTCTAGAAACGTCGCATTCTATGCATCCATCAGCGATGTCAATGGGAAAGCTGCTAAATGACGAAAACTCTGGCCTCCGGCTTCGGTTGGCAAATGCACATCGCTGCAAAGCAAAGAGTAGCAGCCAAAACTGTTTGCGGACCAGGCATTCCGATCCTGGCAATGTTCAAAAATGTTGCAGAAAGCCTGGTCTCCTTCTTCAGCGATGCTCCCATCACACACTTGCAACAGGACCTTGCCTATCCAAGCCAAGAACTGTGAAAACGTTGAGCACTATGATCATGAGAGGGGTAGACCTCGGACAATGTCACTCCTCTTTTGGTCTTTTACAGCTTCCCATGCCCAACAAAATCTGCTTTGTTGTTTCTCTTCCAGTCAACCCACAATCTTAACATTTCGCTCTGTACGAGCGTACATTGCAATTCTGTTGTCTATATACATTGAATCATATGGTACTATAGCCCAGTCTGTTTGAAAACTGTGTACTCCAAGGCACTCCTGCGAGATCAAAACTAACTCTCTGATGAGCATTCAAAATCTAACAGCCAAGTGACCAGCAGGCCAAGGCCAGTGTCTTGACTTGACTCCATCCAAGATCCGCTCCTAGGCGCCTGACAGGAGACAAAGACAGCTTGACAAACAGCTTTGGAGCTCAGTAGCGCTGAGGAGTCTGCAGCAAGAGGGAGAAACAAGCCGTGAAAGTGATGGTCCATGCCTCAGAGACCAAGACGATCAACCTCCATGTACGAGTAAGATGACTTTAAGATGACCTCTGATGGCAACAATCTGATATATAATCCTTTTTTGGTACAGTATATGTCAAAAATCTGATGCCTTCCAAGTGTTGGATTTGATGCTGGCACTGCGGCTCTGACGGTGCTCCCTCCCGGAACGCCCAACCAGCGGAGTGCCACACCGGGGTCTGTGTCGTGCCAAGTCCACCTTTGCTGGAATCATGATCTCGAGTCTCGACTTCAACAAATTCCAGCGTATTCTCCAGTTGTTTTCGAAACATGTTGAAACATTTTGAGACCAGATCCAAAGCTTCAGAGGAAGATCTGAGGTCTGCTAGTCAGCTACACCAGATTCCGATCAGATCTTGATTTGTTTCGACATCAGGCCGGAGAACCAGAGGAATCTTGCGCCACACATGTCGTAAGGAGCATAGAAGATCATGGCGAGCAAGCCTGAAGGAGGACAGCTTTGCAATGCGCCTGAAAAATCCGAAACTTCATCATTCGCAACTAGGCCTTACAGCGAAGGCAAAGAAATGCCAAGCGCCCAGGACATCATCATATCTCAAGCTCAAACAACATCAGCTAGCCGCAGCTAGCCAACAAGACGTGCTAAAAAGATCTAAAAAGCACTGTGAAGTGCCTGCAAAGCTCGCTTCTGCTAACGCACTGCTGCGTGCATGTCGAAAAACTCTGGCTGCCGCAACCTTGCTGTCAAGTACAATGACACGTTGGACAAAAAGCATGGCTTTGGGCGGTATGCCGCATCCTGTTCCTGATGTTACTGGCGCACGGACATACTGCAGAGACAAGAAGGACAAAATGATCTGGCACCAAGAATCCCGCAGTAGACCAATACATGAAGCCATTGTACACGCAGGGGATATACAGTGGCATTCGGGGAGTCAGCATGATCAAGCCCTGAGCCTCGCCGGAGCCGAAGCATTACATGCAAACTGCACTGATGACTCATGCACAGTAATGTAAATTCATATCCCCAATCCCCATTCTCAGTTTGTATGAGTCGTTGCAAATGCAGTTGCAAGCACAGCCATGCTATTGCCACCTATTGCCTCTAGTTTCCCCGCCTGCCAAAAATTGTCAACCACAGGAAGGAGCATGAAGATGTAGTCATTGACGGTGCCTACTATGAAAGTGGCAACCCAAATCCTCAGATCCAAGAAATTTCAATGCCAAAAGGGCTGCCAAAAGGGCTGCCAAAAGGGCTGCCAAAAGGGCTGCCAAAAGGGCTGCCAAAAGGGCTGCCAAAAGGGCTGCCAAAAGGGCTGCCAAAGGGCCTGGACAGAATGACTCCCATCTCCTTTCTTTTCAGCCAGGTTTCAGCATCAATCGCCTTTCCTCTTTGGCGTAGGATTCGCAGGCTGCATGAAGAAATGCAAACCCAGAGAGCAGAAAGAACAAGACCTGCACCAAGGCCCCAATGCGCTGATATTTTCACACACTGGCACTCATAGGATGGGGATTTCAACAATTGTTTGTTTCTAGTCTCAAGCCCTCCAGACAGGGGATCATTCAAGTCATTCAGCTAGACAATAAATAAATTTCACCCAGCCAAGTAAGCCAAAGGAAGCAGCCGGAGCAGCCGAAGCAGCCTCTGCAAATACAAAGGATGGATGATGCGCCAGTTGCTGTTCCAAAGGGTTGAAGCTCCGCCACGGCCACCTCCGAGCTCAGCCCGGTCGGGGATCAAATGAGCACCACACATCACCACAAAATCACCGATCTGATCATCTTAGATCCTTCTACTGGGTGCTGGACTGGTTATACTCTCGGAAGTGCTCCAAGAACAACCATGACCTTATCTTTTGAGGATCGGAATAAGGATATGTTAGAATTCCAAAATTCGAAGCACTTAGTTTCTTGCAATGAATCCATCTCCACACCCACCACGATGATTGTGCTAAATGTCTGGATCCGTGTATTCAAATTCCGCATTGTGTCAAGCAACAACTGCATTGTTTTATTGCATTTAGTTGCCAAGTCTACCCTGATAGTCAACATGAAAACGTTTGCACTTTACCCAATTGTAGGAGTATCATGATTGGCGCAAGAGAAACGACATGATTGCAATCCTGCGAGCCAAAACAGCTTGCCAAAGGCCAATAATTCCCATATTTCGACATGTTTGTCACCATGTTTATGCCGTTTTCCCACCTCCGTAGGCAAATCATAGATGCTGGGTTTTGCCTGGAGGGCCAAATGGTCTTCTGAAATGGATATCATTTGCGGACCTTGATTCTGACTCAATCAAAACGCAGTTGAAATGAGGATTAAAAAGCGTGAAAAAAACATTTTTTGGACAACTGGGCATTGCATCACCATGAACTCACCCAGAAGCCTTGCCAATGTCGTCCTGCATGCAACCAATTGGACCAAATGAAACGTGTTTGACGTGTATATTGTGTGCCTATTCCGATTGAAGGGCGGTCCTTCACCAACACGGCATTCCCTGATTTATTGCAATATGCCTGCAAATGACCAAGAAAATCGACAGTGTTGCAGTGAAAACACAAAAAAAATGTTACACCGAACTCATGTAATACAAGCATCAGGGTTTCCATGCCTCTGACATAGTGCTGGACGCACTGCCTACCAACGGAAGCGCCGCACAAACGCAAGCAGTTCCGGTCTGAAATTTGTTTCGAACCAAATGTGCACAAAACACATGGAACCTATCCCCATAGCCAATCAACAAACAAATGAAACTATATATGCAAATGAATACGCATACACAAAGCTGGAACTACCAACCACCACGCAACAAATTGTAATCTAAAAATCAATATACATCCCAAAAAACCACAGTGAACTCAATACAAATTCGAACAAAAATCAATCAATGATGATGTGTTCCAGTTTTAATATCTGCAGGTTGGGTTGAGTTTGTGGTAAGAAACGTCGACCCTATCACCATTGGAGAACAGCACGCGCAACATACATGTGTTTGTTCGTACGAACCTAATTTCACAGACACGATGTTGCGATTGCAATGTTGAAATTGGTGAAACTGGTTTTTGAAAAACAGTCTAAATTCATGTGACACCTGTGCCATGATGGAAGTTATGGCTCATGCACAACGACGCATTTTTTGAAGATTGGGTTCGTCTCGTGTTACATCTTGGAACCATTGCGCTTATGTGCTGTGCATATTTGTTTGACATTGTTTCCATTTCATTGCATGGCGATTGTGCGAACATTTCTGCCGGCCTCAAAAAAATTCCACGTTTCACCCGACGATTTTTAGGAATGAAGAACGAACTGCACAATAATGAAGTTGTGACGAACCGCGATTAAAGAACGGCAGATTAACACAACAGGGCACAATCGAGAACATTGTCAAGCACGGTCCAAAACACCGTCAGGCGTAGTGCTGCAAAACTGTGTGCAGCACCTGTTCGCAACTCCTTTCATCTCGTTGCAACTCGTCCCACCTCTTTTCACATTTTTTCAACTCTCCACACCTCTTGTCACCTCGTCTCGCCTCTTCTTGTGTCACTTGACCCTGCCTCAACGTGCACTTGACTTGATTTTGCAACGCAAAAGGGTGCTTCAAACCCGTATCTCAGCGCCTGTTACGGTACCAGTGTAGGCTGTCGAACGTGGAATGGATTGGAGTGCAGAGTGTGGAGTGTGAAGGCACGGTTTGAAGTGGGGATTGTGGACTGCAGTTTCACTCTGATTGGATCCGTGTTCTGTAGGTTTTTCACCTTTGACAACTTTCCTAGCCTTTTTTTTTGGCGTTTTTTTTGCTTGAAATCGTCGTTTTTTCCTTCATCAAATTAAATTTCAACAGACTCAGCATCAGCGACACCACCATCATCATCATCATCATCATCATCATGCTGAGATTCAACTGGTGCTTCCTCCTCAGGCGCACTGCTCTCAGCCACCGAAGGGGCAACCTCCATCTTCATGACAACTCACAAATTTTGCAGGACATCGGGCTGCAGTTCCGACATGTCTAAAAAATGTGAATTGATCTCAAGAGGAATCTGGGCCATGCAAGGCTCCAGCAGACATGCCATCTCTCTGAGCGAGCGGGAATGTCCAAATGCGCCCATACCACAGGATTCTTTTTGAACAGAAATTGGGTTGTCAGCGACCCGTCGATCGATTGCATAGCAAAGTTTATCCTTCACGCCTGGAGGTGGGATGGGTTTGGGGGGTCAAAACCTCCAGGCAGGGAGAAACATTGCCCCACCCATCCACAATTGAATAAAAACGATACGGCGGGAAAAAACAAATGTCAGTGCTCTCACGACAAAGTTACGTAAAAGTTGTCCACACAGATTTGTGATTTCTAACGAAAAGAAAACCGGGTTTCAGATTTTGTCTGTTTGCCAAATTTGAAGTTTTGGGCCACAAGACTAGCGAGGAAAGCATCAGACAGGATACCGCGTGAGGCAGGTGCGTAGACAAGAAGGACACAAGAAGGGGGGACGACGTGAGGACGATGGCAACCCACCTGTGAACCTAATTAGAGGCGTATCACTAAATTGAGCCGCTTCTTTTTTCGAACAAGGTTCACCTCACGCAACCCCACTGCATTCAAATCAAACGGAAAGTCATAGCACTTCATGCAGAGCTAGCCATGTATAGGATCCAGCGGAGAAGCCCAGGATGTCGATCTGCCGCCTCGTAGCTGGCACGGAAAATGCATGTCGTCCAGGGTAGCTGACCATCAGGTGCAGGAGCTTACTGCTCGGATGCAGGAGCCTGCAGATCGTTCGCGCCGCAGTAACCCAAGTAGTGTGCACCGGTCTCATGTGTGCTGGGAGGGCATTGGTGTCTTGCAGCAACTTGATAACGCTGGTCAGCAGGACATATGGGTTTTTGATGAGAATGGTAGGGCAGCAGGTTCTTATGACGTTTATTTTCTTGAAATTTTCGGAACCTGTCCTTCTTGGTCGGCTGCCACTCTTCTCCGGGACTCCAATCTGTTCTGCAGCATGTTGCGTACATTCCCGGTAGTGTCTGTTGCGGTCGTTGTTCCGAAGGGAGACGATTTGGTCGTACTGCTTCCCGTCCAATAAATGCGGCGATTTGGACACTTGCAACTCCAAGCCCTTCCCTGTCAGGGCCGCGATGGCGCCTCTGTCAAATTTTTCGGACAGGAAAAAGTGGATCCCATCATCCACCTCCTAACAAATAGTAAATTAGTCCTTCGTGGACTGCGGCGTCTCTACTGCAATGACTTGCTTAATCTACCAAGAATCCGACATGCTATGGGTCTTCGGCAAACTTGCAAATCAAGCCAGTTGAGAAACTATAGGTCAAAAAAAATGATGGTAATTCATGGCTTCGTGCATGGTTGTCTGGTGATTGGCACTTGGGCTTGTCAGCAACACCTTTTGACAAAGGATCCACAGTTCTGCTTTCAAACTTTCGAATTGTTTGAGCACGAGCTTTCGCCCGGTTCTTGAATGTCATGAACAGCCTGCACATGCAGTCCAGAAGTTCATGGAATAAATGAAATGCGGCGTCCTGCCCCCCAATGTGCAAACCTTGTGGCATCGGCGTGTCTGCGAATCAAAAAGAAATGTGTTTGTCGCACAACACAAACAAGATGTGGGTCTTACCGTCAACGCACCTCTTTTGCACTTCGTCCGCACGTCGTCTCATTTCCAAAATCCCGCGCAAGTCCAGTACAATATCTTGTTTGGGCCACATTGACCTTTCACAAGCCCATTCACAAGTTGAAGGCTTCGGATCTCATCATACTTGAAATCTTTGTCCAGTGTCAGTTTTTGGCCACTGCAATCTGGACTCAGTTCCATATTGGATTCGTCACAATCGTGCGTGGCTTGCACATACCAGCAAGGTGCCACGTAGTTGAAACTGCTGCACAGATTCAAATAAATCCAATGCTTGCTAGCATCCTCCAATCATTTCAGCAGGTTGCACATGTTTATGAACATGGCGACTACCTAAAAATATGCCTATACCTTATTTCGGACACGGTTCACCTCACGCATCCCCACAGTGCGCACTTGACTTGCGTTCGACTCAAACGGAAAGTCTGGTTCGGAATACCTCGAAAAAACAAACGTCACAAAAACCTTTTGACCTTCCAGTCTCATCAAAAATAAAAAACGCGCTGAAAACATGCAGGGCGACATAGAAGGAGGAGGAGGAGGATTAGGGAGGCAGAAGGTAAACCAGTCAATAAAATATAGAGGCCCTCATCTGGCAGGTGGGCAGTGATGTGAACTAGTGCGTTGTTTGAAACCATGGCAGCAAGAATATGTAAGCGGCAGCATGAACGCTATTTGTTCATGGACCTAAATGTGAGAAAGCATGTCTCATTGAGTTGGCGCAGGCTTCCAAGGCACTCGCCATGCGAAGGAATAAGGAGCGTCCCCGCTGCGTTCCATGCGAAGGCTGGCTGACAAAGCATTCGAAGAATAGATTGCAGCTAGGTGGCGCCTGGCTTCTCTTGAGTTGAAGCACTCATAAAGCTTTTGGGTCATCTCCAAGAAGAATCTGGCGGTGAAAAACACGGGCTTGGCCTTTTTGCCTCTGGAAATCAATGCTCCAGGGGGCGTGCGAGCCACATCAGAATCGGTGACAGGAAAATACTCCTTCCAAGCTTCATCGGGTTGAGTTGCGCCAAAGGCACTCTGCTGGCGAAAGTGCCAACATTGTTGCATGCACGACATCGCCACGGTTGCATAGTGAAGGGCACTGGCAGTGGCAAGTCTAGCAACCATTGGATGTTCTCATTCCGCTTCATGTGCTCCACATGGTGCGTTTCTCCAAACTCAGCAGCGGAACGTAGATGAATGTCAAGGGCGGCTGGCCGGACAACAACTGGATCTGCGGCAGCACTTGGAAGCAGAGAAAGAAGCTGAACAGGTCGGCTGACAGCATGATAGGCAGCAAGTATGACTTTGCACAAATCTGGGACGTGGAGACCACCATCTGATTCTTCTTTTTCTTTCCGCAAGCGCAGGACGACTTGTCTGCCAGATTTCAAGTGTATATCATACTTGTATTGCACATCTTTCAGCTCCGACAACTTGCATGTGCGTACTTGTCCAAGCCTCCACCGCTGGCCATGCTTGTCCGGAGAAGATTGTTCGATGATGGCAACATCTGCTGTTGGCTGATTGTAGCGCAAAAAAGTGCCTAAGACGAAGACTTCCTGGCCGCACCAAACATTATCCAAGCCTCTTCAGGCTTTGCTTGCGGTGTTTGAAGCAGGCTCTGCAGCATCATCATCAAAATGAAAAATGCGTGTATCCTTGTGAGCACAAGCAAAGCAGGTATCGTCCGACCCACTTGCAATCGAGCAGCAAAATCTTTGTCCGAGCTGGCCGATGTCTTCCGTGCCGATTTGCACGGTCTCTCTACAGCGGCACCTGCTTCCTCTAAAGGGCGCTTTTTGCGCAGCTGGGCTGGCACAGCGGCTTTTGTGGATACTTTCTTTTTGGGCATTGCGTCGCGTGTGCTGATTGCTTAGGTTTGAGTGAAGAATTGCGTCATGCACCAAGCTCAGTGAAACAAACATGGTTGACCATCCACTGAGGCAGTCATGTTGCGTTGCACTCCAATGGCATATGTATTGTGAAGTGGCGCGGTTCTGAAACACAAAGGAGGTGCTACTTATTTTGGGCAGGTAGCGCAAATTCTAAACTTATATCTTCTTTGTTGTTGTGGCAATGCCAACAACTTCGTGTTGGGAGTTGGCTGCCTTAATTTTTTTTGCCAGGTGCACGAATTGTTGAGATTGGCGTCTAATGGGAAAGAGTTAATTACGCGAAGGCATCCCTTCCAAGCTTCAAAGACTCGCAGAGTTGCAACACAGCAGGGCTGGCTGAAATGGCAGACCATGCTGCAACTTCATAGGGTTGCGCCGTCTTGCGGGGCCCTCTGGCTGCTTTCTGAGCATCGCCAGCTTGAGGAGCGGCAGCTTGAAGCAAGATACCAGCTTCATGCAGTTTCTGAGTTGCTTTCTGAAGCTTCTCCGCTAAGGCTGGCATTCTGCGGTAAGGGTTGCGATTTTTGAACTTGTCCCTGAGATCCGAGAGGATGAAGCTAGAGCGAAAGGGGCAAGCCTGGAGCACAAGATCGCGAAGCATCTTTTGCTCTGCTCCTAAGTCATCATCTGCACGCTGCGGTCTGTCCGCACTCTCCAACTTTCCTGCCAACGCAGAAATTGCTTTGCGTTCATCAGCATGCAATGCAGATTCTTGGGAGCGCATGAAGCGATAGTAGCCGGCATGGAGCTGGAGCACTGCGGCCATGAGTTCCATAGGCTCGATGGTGTCTGTCCCTGTGGGAACTGGATGTTTTCCGACTGGTTCAAAGTTTCAAGGTGTTGCACCTGGCACGTTAGAGAGTTTAAAAAAAAAAACTTTTGCTAAAGAGATAAGGACACGGGGAAGGAGATAGGAAAATAACGTTACATTATCTTACATTACATTACATTACATGACATGACATTACATTACATACATTACATGCATTAACTACATACATTACATGCATTACATGCATGACATACAAACAGTAGCAACTCTGCGCGCCTGTCGCATGATGGAGGAGGCATTTCTCAAAATGTCTGAGAAGGCGAACTGGATCTTGATTTCAAACCAACGGCAGACCTGAACACCAGCAGATGCTTGGCCCGGAGGATGGTTCTCAGCATTGTTTGCGCCTGTCCCGAGCAGTGGATGTACACTGGGTGCTGGTTTGGTCCCAAAAGCATGAGTCTTATGTTAACCGCTTCCAGCCAGATCCTATAAAACAATGGAATATGTTTTCCTCAAAAAATGTGAAAAAATGTAAACCAAAAAAGCAACCAGCAAAAAAAAATAAATCAAAAAGCAGAAAAAAACATGCAAAAAAATGCAAAAAAAAAGCAAAAGCAAAAGGAACACATAAAAAGCAAAACTTCAAATCTCAATCTGCATTTGGTCGCGAAAGCAAATACCTGACCTCATGCAAACAAATATTCAAATTACCAGCAGCAAGCAAGAAGAACATGGAGCAAAAACTTATTCCTTCTATTCTAACAATGATAATGATGTGATTAAAAATCAAGGGTTTAACTTGGAGTGACCCCCCCCCTAACAGTGGAATAAATGGGTTTTAATTGTAACTTCCCAGCCAAAATTGCACAACAACCGAGGGACCAAAACCACAAACAATTTGAGAGGCCCAATCTTCTCAATCCAAATTGGAGCTTGCAGAGATTTTGTTGGGTGATAAAATCCCTTTTGGGCAAAGGGAAAGGCAGCAGTGCAGGGACGAGTTGGCTAAGGGACAAATTTTTGCTAAAGGGCCAAGTTTTGCTAAGGGACAAATTTTGCTAAGGGACAAATTTTGCTAAAGGGAAAATTGTGCTGAGGGACAAATTTCCTAAGGGGCAAATTTTGCTGGACAAATTTTGCGAAGGGACAAATTTTGCTAAGGGACAAATTTTGCTAAAGGGAAAATTTTGCTAAAGGACAAATTGTGCTAAGGGACGAATTTTGCTAAGGGACAAATTTTTGCTAAAGGAGCTAAGGGACAAATTGTGCTAAGGGACGAATTTTGCTAAGGGACAAATTTTTGCTAAAGGAGCTAAGGGACAAATTTTGCTAAGGGACAAATTGTGCTAAGGGACGAGTTTTGCTAAGGGGCAAATTTTGCTATAAGGGACAAATTTTGCTAAGGGGCAAATTTTGCTCAGGGACAAATTTTGCTAAGGGACAAATTTTGCTAAAGGAAAATTTTGCTAAGGGACAAATGTTTCTAAGGGACAAGTTTTGCTAAGGGGCAAATTTTGCCTTGGAGACAGGAGCGCTGCAATTTTTGAGGTGCCTCCAGGCAGTTCAGTGGTGAGTCCTTTTTTTTTCTCCCTGTTTTTCCTTTTTTTGTTTTTTGTTTTTGCTGCTCTGGTTGGGTCGCATGTTTTTCGCATTTTCTCCGCATTTTTTTGCATTTTTTTGTGATTTGTTTTTTTCGCAATTTTTTTGCAAATTTTTTTCGGATTTGCATTTTTGTGCATTTTTTTTTCAGCTCAAAAAAATTGCCATGGAGTGACTCCTCTTCGACGAGGTAGTCACACATCTCTGCCTGCGTGTCACGCGGAGTTTTGGCAACCAGCACTCGATCAGCTGGAGCTTACGTTCCTTCCTTGAGGTCTCTGTTCAAAAAAATTGCTTACCCAGCTACGTGCTAGCTAGCAGCTAGCAGCTAACAGCTAGCACAGTTAACGCTTCTCACCAAACAGTCCCTCAAAAAAAACAGTCAAACATCCCAGCCGTAGCAGCAGCACGGTTCAAACTTGTTCATTCTAGCTGTGGTTTGTTGAGTTTATAAACGATGCACTAAAAACAAATAGACAATTTTAAATTGTTGATGCGGTTCAAATTTCAAAAAGCAAATAAAAGTAGTTGTAGTTCAGCTTTGTATTTGTGGTTGTAGTTATAGTTAGTTAGTAG